CCCCCCCCCCCCCTTTTCAATCTTCTTCCCCTTGCTCTCCCTCTCATACATGAAAAAACCCTAGTTTTGTGTAACCTCATCTCATGAGTTCATTAGCAGGCATAAAACAAGAACAACTGAATTCATAGTTCAGATTAGTGAGCTGAATCAAATCTTACAAACAACCTAACCCAATTAACTGCCCAGTGCCCACTTACTGCAAGTTTAAAATGTGGGAACCAGAAACAATGGAAATGCTAAGGGAAACATTCAGTACATAATTAGGAAAATAAGAGAACCCTGACAGCATGTCAAACCAGGAAGGAAGCACCTAGAAAACACAACAAACCTATATGAAGCTAATTTTTACCTCAGTTGTACAAGCTTTCTAAACAGAAAATATTGAGATCCTTAAGCATTAATGATACAATTTAGATAAAATAAGTCCCTACATGTTCTGGAAACGGGTTTTTTCAGGAAATGGCATTATCTTGTGGGCTTGTTTTGATATCCAATTCTTAGCTAGGCCAAAAGAGCATCCTCTCCCACATCAATCCTCTTATATATAATGAAAATAACAAGAATGGTTCCAATGTCCTTTTGTTTTTACCTAGAAGTTACTTACTTTTAGGCGGATCACTCAGTTCCAGTTCGTGGTTGTGTACAACATGTATCCTGATCTTGAAGATCTTGTGCTATTCAACAGCTATGTTTTCCCTTTAAGTTTATTTCCAACTCTCTACCAGAGAAACTGTCTAGAATTTCATGAAGCTTTTGAATGATAAAAGTTTGTACCTTGAGGCAAAGTCGTGCAGAAACATCCTGATCAAAAACACCAAGAGCAATCACAGGAAGTGAAGTGAAGAAGACATTATAGCACGACATGTACCAATCGTTATAAGCAGGTTGGCCAGAGAAAGATGCATAGGCCTCAAACCAAAACAGAGTGAACCCAAACGCAATGTTCTTGTAGAAGAAGTAGCAGATCTGAATGCAATGAAGAAAAATGTTAATAAGGACAAGCTTTTTGTCTGGTTTTTACTTAACTGCATGTGCCTTGTCTTCCTATTCTAATTGGATTGAGTCTCCATTTCCTTAATATGGCAAAATGCTGCATTGTTTCAACCAAGATTTTATTGTTTTGACGAGGGAATAGGGAAAAAGAAAGAAAGGGTGAAGGTAGTCATCTTCCTTTCTACAGGGGAAGTTTTTCNTCTACAGGGGAAGTTTAGTTATTAAAAAACTAGGAAACAAAATAGACATTGGGTGACTTCCGATTACGGACTCAGTAGACTGATTTTTGTTTGTCAAGGCACATATATGTAGAGGCACTATGANCATTGGGTGACTTCCGATTACGGACTCAGTAGACTGATTTTTGTTTGTCAAGGCACAGATATGTAGTACATGGNCCATCTCTTCGGAAGGCCTGATGCATGGTTGCTTTGGTCGTGAAGAAGAACATTATCATGGAACTGATAACCCCATTAAACATCCAGCCAAGTATGCGGATCCAACTGAAGAGAATGTTCTGCACTCCCTCTTGATACAGCAAAGGATACTGTACAGAAACAGTTAAATTAACGGACAATCCTTTGATCAAAAAAAAAAACAAAAAAGGGACAATCCTATATTTTGTACATGTATCCAGCGCATGAGAATGAGATAGAAAATATTACCCATGTATCCAGCGAGCGAATGCATTACATATCTACTCCCCTTGGGGTTTACACAACAATTTATGTCAATTCCTTTTAAGTTTGGTCAACTAACATCCAACAACTGGAAAATTTTAGGATAAATCAAAAGGACACACCCCCCCCCCCCGGGGCGCCCAGTTGAATTTATTTTATGGCCACCTACTGGCATTTCAGAAATGACAATGGGACTCTGACATTTCCATCTTTTAACAGCATGACACCCCCAGTAAGATCACCTCAACCAAAATAATATCAAAATACAAAAATTACCCTGTTATTACTCGTTAGAATAAAATAATCTTGTTTTCAAATTAATGGCAAACTGGAACAAAATTGGCCCAGAAGGAACCCCCCCCCCCCCCCCC